TTCCGGAACAAATCACTATATAATTCTTGTCTAATGTATGCTTTCTGAACCTTTTTTGCATATTTTGAATAATACTCTTCAATTAGTGGTGCAGAAAATTTATTCCTCACTAATACACTAATATTACCCAAGAACTGATCGAGTAGCTTTTTTCGGACTGATTTATCACAATCTCGCAGTATACATAAAATGATATGATTTGCATACTTTGTCTTTGAAAGAGAAACAGTTTCACTTATAATTTCTTCAATCACATTATTTCGTACATCTGGAGAGCCAACCTTTATGAGCCACTGTGTCATTCTTGACAATTCGTGTGAACGAGCTGAATTTACAAACTTCCCTGACAATACTTTGAATAATTCATTTACTAATTCCTTCCTCCGATCAACAGGACATTTTTTACATCTCAATTCTTCAAATATTTTCTTGGATTTATCAGGTAAAACATATCCTTTTTCTTTTTCCCTACGTTTCAATCTAAGTTCTTTTTGTTTTTTTCTTAATTCTTTCTTGTCAAGTTGGGGCTGAGGCTCTGTACTAAGTTTTGGTTTTCCCTTCAATTTATCGTTAAAATTATTTTTTTTAAAGTTTTTAGAATAAAGTTTAGATTTATCATTAAATTTCTTTTTAAACGGCTTCTTTTCAGATGGTTTAGGTGCATCACTTTCCACTTTTCCTTCAAGTTCATTTGAACTTTGATCCACGGATAAATTACTTTTAACGACAGATTTCTTTGGTTCCCCAACAAGGGCCTTTTTCCCTTTAATTGTCTTTAATTTAGGTTTCTTGTTGCTAACAATAAGTTTCTTGGTCTTCAAATTAGCATCTGGTGAAGTAGATTTCTTTAAGATCGATTTAGGTAATGTTGACTTGGGAGAATCATTAACAATTTCTTTCTTGAGTTTCTTAACACTAAGAGATTCGTCAGGATCACTGTTTCTCTTCATTATTCGACTGCTGAAAAGTTATCTCTTCTGAAAGCAAAGAAAATCATCAACTCTAAAACTAGGATTAAGTTAAACAACAAACCAACAAATACTCACGTGGGCAAGCAAATCAAACAACTGCGAAGGTATACACTCCGTGACAAAGAGCTACTATCTACCTTACAAACTAAACCAATACAGCTTGAGAAGTAAAAATACTAATACTCTAAAAATTCTTCATAAGAACTATTTTTCTATTATTAATATAAACTAAATAAAAAAGAATATCTATACTTCTTTTCGATCATCAATACAGGACTATTTTAAAAAATATTAATAATAATTAATTTAATTTTTTAACAACAAAATAAAATAATTTTAAATTAATTATTTATTTATCAAATGAATATTTTAAATTATCTATGTAAAATTAATTCAAAATACGATTGTATTTTCATATGATTTCAATCATCATCTGAGATTCTAGAATTATGTCATTTATGGGATATTTTAAGATTCCTTCTTTATTTAGACGATGCTCGACGGACTTTCAAAAACTGAGAGAAAAATATTTCAAATTAGAAAAGTACTGGGAAGCAGTAGCAGACTTATCTTCCATGACTAGCAATGAAATAGCAATTCATGATTCCCACAAAAAAGCAGCATATGACTGCCACTTTTCCTATCTAGATCCAGTTTCAGGAGAAAAGGTGTTTACTCGGTACTATCATTTTCTTAACGGAAAGTGTTGCGGAGAAGCTTGTAGACATGTAGGTATTAAATTTATAAAAACATAAATCACACACCATTAAAAAAAAAAAAGTAGTGAATATACACTGACAGGCGAAAAATTCCACCCACTTGATTTTTTTCATATTTTCATCTAAAAATATTTCTGCTTTGGATTAGTCTATTGTTTTTAAAGAATAAATAGGTAATCTTTTTGTTTGTTTTCAATTAGGAATGTTAATATAGAGGACAATAACCCTTTATCCTTAATTCAATGAAATGATTCTAGATTCCAGTGTTTACTTTCTATGGAATCAAAATGTTTATTCAGTATCATTAGTATAGTGCCGTTTCTTGCAGCACATTTCTTAGTCTTCGGCTTTTAATTTTTTCAATATTAAATTTTAAAATGCCTCTTAGTGCTGAGGATGTTGGTGTGGCACTTATTGATGATGGACGTTCCATTAGATATGCAGCTAATGCCATCGAAGTTCCACATGAAACTTTACGAGACGCCGTCAGGCGTTTTCGGGAAACTGGTTCTTACAATAGAAGGCCCGGTTCTGGACAGGATGACCGGTTTTTGACTTAATGGGTAACAAGTGGGTGGCATTTTTCGCCTGTCAGTGTATTTATATATATATTTATTTCTGCTTCCAACTTCAACAATTTAGATGGTAGTTATTTCTTTATATATATTTTTCATGTGTTTTATAAGCTTTCAGACTTTCCACCTTTCACTGGAATCTGCTAGGTCATTCCTAAACACATCATAAGTAGCTGTCCATCGCTGTTGGATTCATTCCATTGATGGAATCCGTCAATGGAATTAGCGCTGAGTTGAGAAACTTGCCCAAGATTTCATTCTAGACTGGCAGGGTTAGAAGGTCTTATTTACATTTTCTTTACATCTTGATTCTGGACGATTCATCGGTTTCAGCAACTTTTTTTCATCTTTCATCTTTGATGTATACTTTGGATGAAACAAACATGAAAGCCAATCATCACCAATCACTTTAGATGATTCCTTCAAGCTGAAAATCGAATGTGGGAAGTAATTAAGCCTGAAGTATTGGTTTAAGGAATTCCTATACTCTAACGTCAGAATGACTTCATTGGAAATTCATATCTACTCTTGTTTCTTGAATGTTGTCAGTCATCAGAGTCATGATTAATATGTATATAGTAAAATATCAACTTTAATAAAATAATTAAAGGTATGCTTAAGATTGTTTAAATGACAAATTTTAGATTTGATGAAACATTGATTTAATCAATAATGCATGTAAATCGCTGTTAAAATAAGGAGAAGTACCTAAACTTAGCGTTTAAATCACTAATGAGCATCAGGTCGTTCCAAAACTCATCGACACAACAGTGGGCATCAGAAATATATCAATGGATTGGTGCTGAGTTTGGGAATTTGACCTAATAGCACGAACATATATTTCTATACAATATATGTTAAAACAATAATTATTTTTATAAAAAATAAATTAACCATTTGCAAAACCCATTTCATACTTAATAGATTTTTTTTTCAGTGTACTTATAATTATTCTGAAGTGCCTGAGAATATCAAAAGAAAAAAAAAGTTCAACGGTTCATTTTGGATTGACGGACCTAATTCAGACGAAAGTGAAAAGAAACACATTGAAAATTTAAAAAACATTATTAGAGTAAAACCAACAAAGAAGTCATTGTCAAAAACACAAATAAACCTTAAACAATAAAGTGCTCTATATTATTATTTATTACATTTAATCAGTTTATCTAAAAATATATATTTCATATTTATAAACATTATAGATTTATTATTTCCATTCTAAATCACTATAGTTGAAAGGCCGAGCCAGAGGTAGAAGTATATGGTTGGTTTTCTGCGAGGAATTAATCGAAGGCCTCCAACAATACATATTTAGAATTGAGACATTAAGATCGAATGTGTCAGAGGACGACCTACATCGAAGTGTATATAAACAATTTAAAAAAAAAAAAAGTATTTTTGCTATCAAACTTTGTGGCAGGTAAACGTACGGCCGAGAGATGGTCACCCTCTGACTCTCCATAAGGACATCTGAAAATGAGAGTATTCGCTTCCGAACTTTGTGGGAGACACCAATACATCGGGGAGGTATGAACCCTCGAACTTGTAAGGAAGAGTAAGAATGTTTAAGAAAATTAGATCTATTTCGATGATATTCAAAATATTGTTGGAACATACTTATAACTGATCCTTGGTCGATTATTCTTACTAGCAGTGAAGCAGATGGACCCATTGTTCCTCGAGAATAGCCGTATTTGAAAAAGATTTTAAGGCTTAATAGTTTGAAGTAAGAGAATTTAAATGTCAACGTCTTTTGTAAAAAGTTTTAATGTTTATTTTATTCTGTTAAATTTTACCTAGTATTGAACCTCAGTCTAGACATGATAATTGTTTATCCTCGAGTTTTAATGGTGGAAAACGTATTGGGTCATTTAAAAAGTTCATTTTGCCTTATTTAACGTTTATATAAAGTTGTATAGTGCGTGTAATTAGTTTTTCTGTAGGAGAAGGGAGCTCGCGCAGCCTTTCGCCTCTCGAGATTCACTTCCCCTCTCCTTCCTATACCAATTACCTCATACCAGGAACGCTTTTTTTTTTTTTTTTTTTGAAGTTAAATTTTCTTCTAAATTATAATTTCGTAAAAGAAATAAAATCAGAAAAAATGGTAAAATAAATGTCTACTAGTAAAAAAAATTAATATAGAAGTACGTAACGAATGAATAGAGAGAAGACAAAAGATTGGGGGATCAGCGGGACAACGTTTTTCCACTCCGCACCTCTTTTCACCGGCAAACTTTTCTTAAATGGACTCTACAATACTTTATGGAGGATGGGATGGTCGAGAACATTGTGGCGTGGGTCCCAGAATGCTCTGTTCTGAACGTTGTGGGTTCGATTCCCATTTGCGTCGGTTAATTTTAATTTCTCGGCGTCCTCAGGAAATGGATCTTAACATTCTCACTCTGGTAAGTACGCGGCGGCAATATCAAGGTAGCTGTCAGAGGTTGGCAAAAAGGACCACGACAGGTGGTCCACTTACTGGACTAGTTTCCCAGACCAGTAGCACTACCAGTACATTACTTTGTAGGTTTTATAAACGTTTTGTTAAATTTGTTTAAAATAAAGCTTATCTTTCCTCTTGATCCATTAACTCAAAAAGTTTGAAATGAGTTAACAAGTTGTTTTTTGAATAGCATGGGTATGAGAATTAAGACATGAAGATTTATTACTGACGAACCTACTTTGTTCAATACTGCTTTTAGTTCTCTGGAGTTGAAGTTTTTATAATGGTTATCCTATCTTAGCAGAATGAAATTGAATAGGTGACGTGTGAGCTCAAGATTCAAAATATTGTTTCACTATATTTATTAATTTAAAGTCAATTTTACAATGGCACGTAATGTATTTAATTAAAACTTGATTAAACTTTTTGTGTCTTGAAATGATCCAATTGAATTACTTCTGACTTGTCAATTATGTATTTTATATTTGAAATTTTTATTAATGCTTAATATAATAATATTGAAAATTTATCTTTGAAATAATTTTAGGAACAACATATTGCTATTAGTATTCATGTTCCAAAATTGCTGGAATGGCTGATTAGCAGAAGACACTGTAAAAATGAGTGGCAGCCTGAAGCTGTCAAAATTAGGGCAAAAATCAACGTTGCTATTCAAGATATGCCTGCAAATGAAACTATTGCCTCTCTTTTATCTGGAACTTGTAAGCAAATTTTATATATTTTTTTAATTTAAGTAATTCATGTTGTTTTTTCACATTTATTGAATGAAAAGTTTGTAGTTTCGGAATGATTTCAGTTTTTTAAGCAGTAGATTCTTTTTATTTTTTGGAAAGGCTGAATTAATTTTATAATCTAACTATTTAGTGAGCGATTTCATCAATTTTTTCTATGCTGAAAAGATATTTTTTTTTTGTTTCAGATATAAATTATTTTCATTGTTTGAAGATAATTGAGATACTTGAGACAACTGAAGCTGATTCAAAGAATATATTTGGTAGTTACACTTCAAAACGAATGAAAGATTGGAAAGAAATTGTTAGCCTTTATAAAAGAAATAATGTTTATTTAGCAGAAGCTGCTGAATTGCTCATCAATATTGTTAAATATGAACTTCCAAACTTAAAGAAATTAATTTCTAAACAGCAACAGCTGCAAAATGTATGTGTACTTCATTAATGTTTAAAGGAATTGAGTAATGTTGATAGTATCATAGGTATCACTTTACAATTGTTGCTACACCTTGATGGGTGGGCATAAGATCTCACGATCATACTATAAATAAAATTCGGAGAATGGCCAAATATTGACTTCTTCATGGGTAAAACTTCCTTATTTTAATCGCTATTTTTACAATTTCCACAAACTCCCAAATATTATTTTTCAGTCTGAATTGGGCCTTAATTAGTTTTAATTACATCAGTGCTTTTAACTTCCAACTTTCACTCCCCATGCTTGCTCAAAACAGATAGGCAAACACCCAATGGGCCCTTTTCAGTTATCGGGACCTTACCTTTATTTACTGTTGGACATACTTGACCGTTATGAGAATTCTATTCAATGTTTGAGCATGAATATTTCCCATCAAAGAGGGGAAATATTTGTAAAGTAGTACCTTAACATCCTTTCTTTATTTTCAATATTACTTTAAAATCTGTTATATTTTAGGATGCAAAAAAGAAAGAGACTGAGGCTTTAAAATCAGCTAATACAGCAAGGAATGATTTAAATTCTTTTTTAAAAGAACTTGGTTTGGATACAGGTGAAGGATCATATAAGAAACGGTTGGTAGCCAATGCACTTCAATTACATGCCACCCATGAGAAAGTAGCTAGTGAAACTAAACTTATCCTTCCTGGGTTGGAACACTACATCAACTTTACTGCATTGTCATTACCTCATCACACGGTGAACTTGAATCTCATCAAATATATTGCTGGTAAATTACAGCTACTTGTATTCTGTAAGTTTGTCTTATTATTATAAATTGTAATTTCGGAAATTGGCATAATAAGAATGTATTAGTACTATTTTAAACATTTTTAAATGAAACATACTTATTATTACAGAGAAAGGAAACACAACAGTGTATGAATTTATACACGGTGAAGTACCAACTCAAATAATCACGCCACCTCCTGTCTTCTCAGAAGATGTAAGCTTATATCATTTTCTTCAACTTTTGTTAGTTTTTATATTATTATTATTTAATTTATTATTGATCTAAATTGGAAAAAAGAATCAATTTTAGACACCTAAGTTACTATTACTACTAATAAATATTTATATTCTGAATTTGTTCAGGAACCTGAAGAAACAAATGAAGATACTATTGATTGGGGATTTGATGAAGTGAATGCTTCCCTTGAGGTAATTTCAATCTTTTATTCAATGATCATTGAATAGTGATTTTACATACTGGTTATTTACCAATATTCAAGGGGCAGGGTGGCCAACCAGGCTAAGGCATGTGAAAAACCCGTGTTGCCCGGCAATCCTATAAACCAAAGATTATACAAGTTCAAATCTTGGTTCCAGGGATGATAAAGAAGACTTTTTTAATTCTGAAATTAGCCTCACACTCTCTCTCCTGTCCCGTGAAAACCCTTTATACTAAAAAATATCAATATTCAGCCTCCTGATAGTTATTTTTTGCTTATTTTATATGTTTAGCAATAATACGCTTGTTTCTAAATTTATTATTTTAAATGAAGAAAAAAAAAAAAGTCGGAATAACTGAAGCTGGTGGTAATGGAAGCTTAAAATGATAATGTAAGAAGTAAAGAATTACTCAATAAAGTTCGCCTGCTGTAGTTCATGATATAAATGGGTGGAGATTTAGTTGGTTAAGGTTTCTAGCAATGGATAGATGATTAATCGAGATACAACAAGGCTACCTATCGCAAATTGGAATACAATTGCTCAATATAGAATCGGGTGGAACTCATTGTTAAGGCAGTAACAGATATGCCATGTTTAAGTTCCATTTATAACAGGAATAACTTATTTAATAATACAAGTTATTACAACGGTTCAAAAATTTGTTCTGAAAATGTCAGTAATATATGCATTTGCTAATAGCATTTGATGGCATTTATTCTAATTTGTTAAAATTGTTAATACCATTTTGCTATGAACTGGTGTTTATAAAATATGAACTGGTGTTTAAAGAATTCATGAAAATATTAATGTCACAGCCAATACAGTTAATAATAATAGAAATAATATTTTCCTATTGACTGGTTTAAACATCAGACATTGAAATGTTACTGATTATAATGAAGTGTACTTCTTCTTTAATATATCTAACAGTAAACCCAATTATAAAAAAACAAAACAATATAATTTATGAAGTTGTGTATTTCATTGATATTTATTATATGTTTATTATGCTATTTATAATATTTGGCTATGGTGGTCTAGCGTGTTAAAGCATTACCTACTTTAACATTCTCAAGTGAAGTGTCACTGGCTATAATCCAGCCTGAGTGAGTTGAAATTTATTTTGTGGAATATCCAGGGAATGGATGTCGACTTGCCCACTCTGGTTAGAATAGGTTTGGTTATACCTCTAAACCATTGTATAATATATTTTTCCAGTTACCCCTGGATACACCCTATCCAGGGTTTCATTGGCAACATATTTATTTTAAAATCTATTGTGGAATTTCGATGATTTCAGGAATTCTTATGTTTTCTTTACAGATTTGTTGTTGTCATTTAATTTTTCTCTCAACAAAGAAGCCATATCTAATTATTTTCTTATTTATGAATATTGACAATCTTATAGAACATGCTTGACCAATTTCTGATTGTACAATCATTTTCACATTTATAGGGTTATTTTATACATAATCCTTAGTTATGTGAGCTAAGTGATATTTAGATCTATTGAATGCTTGCCCTTTATGAATTCCTTTTAGATTAGTTGATGTGCCTATTTACCATTACTAACTTTAAAAATAACTTTTTAATAACAATATATTTTCACATGTTTTTCATTATGAAACAGGCTCAACCATCTACCACAATAGATGATAATATAGATTTAGGCTTTGAAGAGGAAAACAACGATAATATTCAGGTATTTATTATTTCTCTTGATATAATAATTTTATGTATTGTGTTGTTCAGTCTTTAATACCAGGTAGTATATTTATGATTAAAAAAAATTTTGTGAAGTATAGGCTATAAAATATGTACTATGAAAATCTAATTTATCATAAGAAATTCTAATGAAATTATCAGAGATCATCAATGTTGATTTCCTTAGAACTGATGTAATGTTACCTAAACTTTATCTCTCCATTACCAGAAGTTCTATAATATTTTGCCAAGAGCTGATAATACAATAGAATATGATTAATCATGTTTAAATTTTATTAGTATTACACCTGTAGGGCTCCCCAATTAAGAGGGTAATGGTCTAACTTCCCGCGGGGACCAGCCGTATTGGGAATTAGGGCCGGGATTCCATCCTATGATCTTTGCTTTACTAGTATAGCGCGCTAACCACTCTGCTATACCGGCCCCTTGTTTAAATTTATTGGTGCAAAATATCATTTTAGTCTTTATTGATAAAAAGTAACTGAAGTTACAAAACATCATTTTAGTTCTTATTGGTAAACAGGAACTGAAATTAAAGGTGATTCCCCTTCCCAATTTTATATTAATTAGCATTTGATTATAATGCAAATTAGGACAGTCCAACTCGAGGAGGCACAATACCATGCTTGATTATATGGGTGATCAGATATTTCTAGCTAAACAAGCAGACATTATTAAATGTATATTGTCATAAAGGAAGCTGCCAATGAATGATATCTGAAACTAAATGTCAATAAAACTATTAAACCATTTGTAATAGACTACTTTGTAATCAGTAATTCTCATTGCAAACAATGTCAAAATAAATAAATAAAAAATTATTAATAATAAAACTACATAAAATATTCTTTCAAACAAGCAAAGTTGACTAAATTTGTTAAGGTTTTGAAGATGGTAGTAAACAAATCATTTATAATAATACTTTATAAATACTAAACAGATAGATAAATGCATGAGGATTATTGGTAAAGTCACCACTAAAGCTAGGAATAAAGGAATAATCTTGAATGGGCAGAGCTGAGACTTCTTGGTTCTTAAATGCTCTTTTCTTTTCTCTGCCATTCTGATCATGATATTTAAAGTAAAAGAAAAAAAAATTGTCTTAAAGTCAGTTATCCTAGTTAAGAATATCACTAGAATGGTTTGGAATCACTGCTATCTGCAATTATTAAAAATTAAAGATGATTTATTATTTTAGTTAGTTTTCCATTAATTGGGACTCTGATAAAATTACTGAGTTATGGGATACTCAATCCTCTAGATCAATTAATTATATCCGAAATTTTATTGGATTATTAACACAGTAACTTTAATAAAGAGACGTATAGTGTTTTTTTACTGAATTTTACTTATGTTGTAAATGAGATCTGGGACTGCTTTATTTAAATCATCATTTTTAGTAAAGAAGATTGTATACTTCAATACCTAATAGCATCCTGTTGGATATTAGTTTAAAATATCTTCTATATTTAATCATTGTTGCTTCTGTTACATATAAGTCTCTAGAACGTGAGTTTTGGAGGTAGTAATGGCCATTGGTGGGTGCTAAAGTGATTAAAGTGTTTAGTTCTTTATCGATTGTACAATTAAAATTAAGAGAGCTAAATTGGTTTGGCCAATAAAGTATCTTGGTAGCCAATCCTAAAACAAGGTGGCTGAAAGCTAAGATGTTTAAAGTTGCAGTGGGTTCACCAGAGCTTACTTTGGCTAATTGGAGTAAGATTTGGGCGATATTTCAGTAAAAATGTTATCATACGGTAGAGAGTCATTCTGACGATGGATTGAGATTCCTTATTTTAATGCCCCCAAGCAGTTGATAGAAATAAAATATATATGTTATAATATTATGTGTAATTATAATTTACCAGTGTTTCAACTGCCTCCCGTAATGCTACATCCTATGCCCTGATGAAGACCTGCAAAGTGGGTCGAAACGTCGGCAAAAATTAAATAATTCTACTTGTTTAATTTAGTATTAATTTGACTGCATCCCCCGATAAACTCCTTCTCATATTATTTACCTTGTTGTAGATTGAACTGGTAGACCCTGGTGAAGCTAGTGGAAAAGAATCGGAAGAAGTAAAGGTAAAAGTATCAGTTTTATCTATTTTTTTTAAATATTATTTTCATATTTGATTTTATTAATTTTGAAAATTGCTCAGTATATAAAAAAATCAGTGCTAACCTTACGGAAGGTCAACCCGGAAATATGCCAGGGGGCACTGACCTGAGGGGCGCACATTAATCAGAAATTGAATATCACAGAATGCTTGACCTAAATTAATTGATCCTATTAATAAAGCAACTTAATTAGACATATGGAACGAAGTACAATTTACAGGTTAATATAAAACAGCTTAGGAAATAAATTTAAATTTTTTAAGAGAACACGTCATTACCAGAGGCTGCTATTTATCTGATAATGACATTGTAGAAAATTTTAATCTTTTCTATAACATACATGCTTCTTTTGATGCAATGGCATTGTTTTGTATTATTTTCTCGAAAGGTATGATTTATACAAAAATTTGAAAATTTATTATGTAATCATAAGAATTTTTAGTCATTCACATAACTATGGTTAAAAGAGTGATAAATTGGTGAAATTCTTATGACTAAATCATTTATGAGTTGTGTTCATCTTAACTTATGATTCTGAGTGATAGTTTATTCTTTTTATTACCGTTTTTAATGATTAATTTACTTTCACTCTTTATGAATTCACTTGATTAAATTTAACAAAACTTATATACTATTCTACATCATTTAGCAATACACAAATGAAAAAAAAAAAATGTTAATGGATTTACTTTTAATCATGACATTTTTTTTAGGAAGAGAAGTTATCTGATAAAGTCGCAAGAGGAGACAAAGCTCTTACTATTTTTGAAAATAGCCAAACAAGGACTAATTTTATAAACCAACTCTTAGAAGTAAGAACTGCATACCCTATATATTTTTAGCTTTAATTGTATTATCAAATAATAAAAACATATATTATATACTGGTGGAGAAATAGTTTACTGTTGACACTATGGTTGAGAAGTTGTAGTCACAGAGAGAAAAACGAATAAATTTTTTTTAGTATTTTGTGCTGTCATTTAGCCTTAACTTATGGCTTAAAATGATACATTTTTTTTGTGTGTGTTTTTCAATGTAGGTACAGTGAGAAACACGGTACAAAGCAGTCCATCCCCCAACTAATTTTTCGACCATATATTATATGTTTCTTTGAAAAATAGTTATATCACATTTTATTCTTAGTTCTTAAAATTGTTTACAGTTTCATTTGAACTCAGCAGCTTTATAATAATGTTATACATATTTTTAATATACTAGTACTTTTAATGTATTTTTAATATATATCACCAAGATACGTCGTTACTGCCAATAAAGCAAATTTCATCTTTTCTTATCATAAAACTAAACGCCATTGACATGTGAGACCTCTTATTTGTAGGCAGGGTTTCTTGTTCTTACACACAATATCACTATCAAAGAATAATTTAGATACTTCTAAGAGTTTTAGGTTAATCTGGAAACAATTTTATTTCCTCATTCTATGATTGTTTCTCTGAGGAGAGTTCCTACCTGGTTCACTCCAGAAGCTCAGTGCAACATCCCACTTCCTGAATATTTTATTTATCATTTTAATTATTTCTTCAAATAACGAATGTCTGACAATATAGTTTTCTTATAGCTGCTCCTTTGATTATAGATCCTAGGCACAGATATTGAGCAAAAAGGGTCAAAATTCACAAAGCTTTCCACAGGGTCAATATTGAATCTAAAATATTATACTATTTGCAGCATAGCAAATGCTGCAACAATCTTCCTAATACTGCTACAGAATTCTTAAAATTATTTGGCTTTTCCTTGAATTCTTGGAATGTATATTTGTCTTTGTCTTCTGTATTTTTTCTTCTTTTATCTGGAAGAAGGTTATTCTATTTAATATTTTAGTTCAGTTTCCTTAGTTTATTGTTTGAAGAATTTCATGTAATATTTTGTCATAATGATCTTTTCCCATATCTTTCTATTATACTTACTTACTTACTTAATCCAGTCCTCTGTTACCGCTGAGCAGTGTGAGGTTCCTTCTTATAGAGCTTGATCCAAGAATCTCTATCCTGGGCCAGCTGTCTTCTCCTACTCCAGCCCATTCCTCTCCTGTCGAAGGCTTCTTTAATTCCTTCTTCCCATCTTTTTCTTGGTCTTCCCTGGGGCCGCCTTCCCTCCACTTTGACCTCGTAGGTAGCCCTGGCAATTCTGTTTTCAGCCATTCGCAAGACATGTCCAAACCACCTAAGTTAGTTTTCTTGGATTATTTCCTCTGCAGGCCTCAGGTCCAGATTACCTCGTATGGTCACATTCCTAACGGGATCTCTTCTTGTTTTCCCCTCTATTTTCCTTAAATATATATTTAATATTTTCATAACTGGGATTTGGCTTTTGTGCTTGGAAGTGAGGGTCCAAGACTCGCTTGCATATGTTAATATAGGGAGGAAGTATTCTTAAAGACAATCTTCTTAGTGGCCTTTGAGTCTTCCTTTTTATCCAAGAAGCCTGACTTGAGGGAGTAGAAGCATTTTCCTGCTGTCTTAATTCTCTCTTTTATGTCTCCATCAACCCATCCGAACTCGTTGAGGTGAGCATCCAGGTATTTAAAATCCATTATTTGCTCCAGACAGATTTCACCCAGCCGAACGATCCGGTCTCCTCGGATCTTCTTTCTTTTATAATATATGAATATTACTTGTTTGGATAACTTTTTCACAAGGCTATATCATAACAAAGCATATTCACATTTTTAAATAGCCTTTAATGAATTCTCTGATAGCTGTGGTCCAATTCACATAAATTTTCTCCTTGTTTCCTGAAATTATCATAAATAAATGTTGATCAGATTTAACTTGATAGATTCCTGATTTTTGCTGGTCTTGCTAGGCTTGTGTCAATTTTTTTTTGTACTACGGATAAATCGTTATTCTTTCATCTTAATACATTCAAATAATGATCGACATTATTATACTTGTTAAAATATTAAAATTAATGTTTATAATTGGAATATATCTTCACTTACTGTAAATATGTATATATTTTTAAACATTTTAAAATCAGTTCTAATCAATTTTTGGAATTTAGCTGAATTCCTTCCTGAAGATGAGACTGTTCGATGCCAGAAAAGAGGGTCCTAATGACGATCTGGTGGAGTCCGTTGCAGGGTTGGAGGATATGCAGAAGTCTATAGAATCAGTCACTAGTCTTCTTTTGAGCAAAACTTCGCAACATTTTTATAATATATTGTTCTTACCCAAGTAAGTGTTTTTAAATAATTAAAATCTTATATTGTTAATAATTACATTACTACATAAGTTTAAATTTTTGTTTAAAGTTACTAATGCCATAAGAATTAAGTACTTCATAATATGCTATCTAGATGTTGAATACAGTAATAAGGGTAATTTATTTATTTAAAGTAAGAACCGATTGCGAAATTGTCTATTGTCATGAATGAATACTTGACACAAAAAGTTGGAGAGCAAATTCACCAGTCGCATCACTATTAACGAACTTTTATCTGAAATTTCCACAAGTTTTAATATTAATAGTTTATCAAATTGTTAGTGAAAAATTTACTACAAAAAAATGTATGCAAAAGATCTTGACAAATCACAAAAAACAAAAGTATTTGTCATATCATTTCTTCGTCATTTTTGGAGTGCTATGACAAAGATGGTATGAGTTGTTGAGTCACATTGTGAGTGAGCAGTGAAAAAACTTGGATTAAGCACTACACTCCAGAGATTAAAAGTCAATCCAGTGAGTGGTATTATTTAAACTTTCCCACAAAACCACGAAAATTCAAGCAAGAAACTTCAACAGTTTTTCGGTACTGAGAAGGCATTCTTCTGATAGATTTTCTGCCACGAGGAATGACAATAAATGCTGAGAGGTATTCTGAACCTTATTAAATCTTAGGCACGCCATTCAAAACTGCCAACAGGGACTACTCTTTACTGGCATCGTTCTCCTTTACCATAACTATTGACCTCATGTTGCGACAAAGTGCAGGATTCAACTGCACAACTTTCATTGGAAAGTACTCAACCATCTACCGTACAGCTCTGACATAGCATCATCAGACATTCACTTTTTTCCAAAACTTAAGGAATCCTTGTTAGAAAGTAATGGCAAGTTGAAAGAAACTGTTACTAATTGGTTTTAAGGTCAGATGGCAGAATTCTTTGATGAGGGGATCCAAAAGCTGATGCTACGATTTGAAAAATAATTAGATACCAATAGTGACTGTAGAAAAGTAAAAACATGTTTTTATTTTACTTTCTGTTACAATTTACATTCAAAAATTTTACATTGTACATTCAAATTTATCGTACTACATTTCAAAATGGTTCTTATGTACAAAATGCCCTTTATTCTATCAAGCCTTTTCTTTAATTGGAGATTGGTTTGTCTTAACAATTATTGTTCTATTTTCCATTCTTTCCTTTTATTTTGGTATTTCAGTACTTATTACATTTCACTAAACTTAGCAATATTTCATAGTAGATTTATCTTTTGGTTTATTATTTTCAATAATCAACTATTGTTATCGACCAATAAATTCTAAAACTTAACCCCTTCTCAAAATTTGAGATTTCACGTTTCAGAATGCGTAGAATTTGAAAAACGAATGAAAATTTTTTTGTCCGTCTGCCGTCCATGCATTTTCTCCGAAACTACTGGACCGATTTTTTTCACATTTGGATATAAAATCAGAGGTCACCCGAGGATGATCCTCCTTCATCAACATTACCATCCGCCTATTACTTTCAAAATGGCAGTCGAAAAACCTGCATTGCTATAGACTGTAGCTCCTAAACAAATGTACCAATTTCAATGAAACTTCGCTTAAGTCATTTTCTTGACGCCTTTTAAATTTATCTATATAACATACTTCAACGAAATGAAGCTGGAAAAAAGTTACGAGGGATGGTAAAATTAAATTCCGAATAACTCAAAAAGTTTACACTTTTTTGTCGATAATGTATGCTTTTTTAAAAGTTTATGAAATTTCCTAAAAAACAAAAAAAAAATCATTAAAATCGGACAATTAGGAGCAAAGATAGGGTCTCCGGTTTTTTAAAATATATTCTACTCAAAATGTTATATCTTTTGTATGGTTTTTAAATTTTTGAATATGTTACTGATGTAATGCTATTTTTTTTAGCAAATTACCAATGATTAAAAAAAAAAAAAGTTTAGTCCAATAATTGGAATCACCTTTTATTTATTTTTATTTATAACTATGAAGGTAATGTTACTTTAGATGTATAATTGTCTGGAAATAATAAACCATTGTGGAATAATTTGCAGCTTTTTTTTTTTTCTTTGTAATTCTTTAGGCAGCAATGTACTGGGATATGTATTACATTTACTCAATTATTACTATAGTTTTATTTATCTTATTTGCAGCTATTTGGATAATTTAGTAGCCAAGATCAACGAGAAGGCAGATGCTATCGAGAGGTGGACTGCTGTAGCAGCACTTAGTAAGGAACGACAAGCGGAGGCATCCACTGAAGCTACTGAACTTTCAAAAAAAGCTCAAGTAATTGTCCGCAAGGGCAGAGAACTTCAAGAAGAGGTATTTAAATAAAGTCATGGTAGTTATATGAATAAAGGCAATATTTTTGATTAAAAAACAAAACAAATACAAATTAGACATGGGTATTGAGGTATTTCCCTGCTGAATTTTGTAACTTTGTTGAATAGATTGCAATAGTTTTGTAGTATAGTAGTATTTGTAATATACTTACCTTATTTTGATTCAAATAGAAGTATACCAATGTTTCCTATCATAAAATATCTTTTTATTAATGGATTAGTTCCTAGGGGAAGTGGCAAATGAATGAAGAACAAACAGTTTTATTTTTATTCAAAATAACTTCCATTAACTTCAATACATTTTCACAAAGTCTGGCTAGATTTTTTTGCCCATCTTTGAAAATACGTTTTGGATTTGAATCTATAAACTCTAGAAATGAAAATTTTACCTCTAGTTCATTTTGAAATATTTTGTTTGCTAAAGATGATAAACACTTTGAAAAAATGGTAGTCAGTAGAATACAAAAGAGTAATTTTCAATTCACATTGTGTATTTAAGGTTAACATGAGGTGTTTTGAATATTCCACACTCTAAAGAAGCCATGAGAGATGACCACAATACACATAACTTAAGGGGACCAGTTTCAAACTTACTTACGTATTCCCTGTTAGCTTAGAAATTTTCCCATAGTTCTCTTATTCATAATATTTATTGATATCAGCATATTATCCTCTTTGAATTGAGCTATTATTCAAAATTTTAATATCTTTGCCCAATGCCGTGTTAGAGAGACCAAAGGGAAAAATATAGTGTCAAAAACCAAATGATAACTAATTTTTTTGAACATTTGGATTAAAACACCACTCAAAAATAAAATTTGGGCCTGCATAATGTAGACGAGGGACATTTTTAGCATTTCACCCTTTTTGTATTGAGCTATAATTAAAAATTATATTTTGACATGATGACGAGTTAGATAGTCGGAAAGAGAAAATATATCGCCAAAAAAACAAATAATAACTACTAGTTTGAACATTCGGGATTTAAATACTACGCAGAATTCAAAAACCAATTTGCAGAAGTAAATATAGATTTTTTTTAACACATTAGCTGTGGTTACGGACCTCGGGTTCCGATATACATCTTAATTTCGGTCGGGATTGTTTCGAATTTTGCCTATCTTATGAAGCCTCTGAAATCGTCATTTTTATAAATATTTGAATGGGAATCGGATAGATGTAATGATAGATAAAAACGTAAATAATCATACCTGATATAAGGCTATTAGCCCAGTAACCTTGTCATAAAAAGAGGGGTCTAAGTTGCATTGAAAGAGGGTAGAAGGTTTCTTTTTTTTTCTTGTATGGGATGTGACTGAGAAGCAAAGTATAAGTTTTCAACCTCAGCACCTTCCCGGATCACTTGTTAAAAACCCAACACAAAACTGCTATATTTTCGGACTTTTTTTCAATTTTTGACCATGAAGGAGCACATTTTGGACAAAAAACATTCAATGCATTTTTAAACTAGATTAAACATGGTACAATTTAACACCAGAACAGGCTCAGTAAATCAAATAGTTTATGAGATACAGATTTTCAAATTTTACAAAATTTTCGAACTTGAACATTTTTAGCTATTTTTCCTTTTTGATCATATACACTTGTCTTTATATCTTCAATAACCTGTCTTATATGATTCAGTGAAGCAAATTTTTATTCATTTTAACATTTTGAAGGAGGGGTGAGGGAGGAGGGGAGGTTTGGTGGGAGAGGGGGAGATCACTTTTCACAACCAGAAGACTGAAATTGAAATTTAAAAAGTTATTTAACCAACATTTACATGAAGTGTATACCAAAATAGTAAATTAAGCGAATACAATTTTCGAAACTTGAAAATGTTAAGCTTATTTTCATGTTTATGTCTTCAATAACCTGCCTTATAAGAGTTAATGAAGTAAATATTTATTCAAGTTATTATATTGAAGGAATAGAATACATTGATATAGGAATGGCTATAAAAATTGATGAAATAAGTGAGCTAGGCCAGTGCAGCTTTTTCACTAATGAAATGCATTTTCTAAAGAATTGTTTCAAATATATTAAAAATTAATCAGTGATTAAGAAAGATAAATATATTCCTCTAGATGTTTTATTTCAAGGCGTTTTTTGATATTGTTGGCCGTTTAATTACAAAAGATGCTAGATTTTTAAGTTTAGGTTGAAGGACTTGAAAACATTTACTTTACTGATAGTTTTTATTGGCAAGGGCAATTATTATTTTTTTTTTTGTGCTTTATCATACTCTGGCTGTCCGGCTTTAATAAAAGACCAATTATGACGAAAATAAGTAAACAACGTCAAGTCAACGTCATCACTTTGGAGGCCATCTTGGGACAGTGTAGCCACCTTTTTTTGTGAGAACATTGCTTTTTTTTAATATATAGTTACAAGAAACTCAACGATATGCAATTTATATGCTTTTTTTTTAATATACAAGGAACTCAACGATATGCAATTTATATGTTGTTTTTTTTAATATATAGTTACAAGGAACTCAACGATATGCAATTTATAGTGATGTGGAGGGAGGGTGCTTACAGATTACTCTCTTCCACCAAATCTTTCTCCCCTCCATCAACCCTCCTTCAAAATATTAAAACGAATAAATATTTACTTTGCTTACTCATATCAGAGAGGTTATTGAAGATAAAAGACAATTGCGTATGATCAAACATATCAAACATGAAAAAAAATAATTTAAGTGGAAATTTTTTTTTTTCCTACGCCTATAAGTGGATAAATTTGAAAATTTTTATCTCGTAATCTATTTGATTTCCTGAGCCTGTTCTGATGTTAAATTTTAGCATATTTAATCTAGTATAAAAATGTATACTAACTATGCAAATGTATAAATCTAATGTATAAAGACTGTTTTTGTCGAAAATGTGCTCCTTCATGGATAAAAATGGGAAAAATCGAAAAAAATAGCAAAAATATAGTAGTTTTTTGGACATTCAAAAGTGATCCGGGGTGGGGGGGGGGGAAAGGAGGAAGGAGAGCGAGGACCCAAGGTTGAAAACTTGGATTTTGCATCCCATCATCATATCCCAGACAAGAAAATAAAATGAAACCTTCTAACTCCTTTCAATGCAACTTATAATGTTCAACTTACTGAGAGCTATATAGGACACCAAGTACTGCAACCGCAGCTTATGTGTTAATTAGCCATAGAAATTGAGATGTATATCGGAACCCGAGGTCCATAACCGCAGCTAATGTGTTAAAAAAAATCTATATTTACTTCTGCAAATTGGTTTTTGAATTCTACATGGTATTTAAATTTTAATCCAAATTTTCAAACCTGTCGTTATTATTTGGTTATTTCACGATATCTTTTCTCTTTCCGACTATCTAACTCGTCAACACTTCATAATGTTTTGACAATGGTCATTTTAGTTGTAAAGAAAAAATAGTTTTTACACAATTATAATTGTATATATTGTAAACGAAATTACTTTGTGAACTTAGAACAAAAAAAATTTATATTTCATATTATTAATCCTACCTCGTTGATGTTTTCACTTCTATTCTATTTTTTTTTTTCTTCTTTTCCATTAGTATTCATGTATAATAAACTTTCATTCTCATAAATTATCTTTATTTCCTTATTTCAGATCAGAAAAGACATTGCTGAAAGATATAGTGGAAGAACTGTTACGCTCATGGGAGGGCCTACATTTGACAGGCATTGAATGTTTGCATGTTAACTTTATTGTATAAATATGTATATAAATTTTGTATGTTTTTAAATTAAAAACAATACTTTTTTGAATAAATAAATTGTTATCAACTGATTTTTTTGTATTTCTCATAATTATGTTTATGTATGGATATATATATATATATATATATTAGCTTGAAGATTTTTCTGTTTTATGTGAATGTTAAACTTTTCTTCATTATGCAGTTGCTTTAGAATTGAAAATTGTTTTGTTTTTACCTTTTGGCTTTGCAAGCCTTGCAGATTTCCACCTTTTTTGGATTTGCATTTCTAATTGTTTGTTTGTAACTGCCATAAATTTGTTTATTATATCAATCAGTCTAATTTATTTTCTCACTTGTAAACTTTTAGCAAATACTAATAATTACCACCCGGTTGGTACCCAAATTTGAACCACCTATTTTAGCAACTTGTGTTATATTGTCTATTTCCTTTTGGAATCCGCTATGATTTTTGAGTGAAAGTAAATTTTCTTTTATTATTTCGATTATAAATTAATTCTTTTAACCATTTATTTGTATAAACTAATTATTATTTTTGGTAAATATTTAATTTCTTTATAGATGACCCGTAAAGTTAAAATAATGTGCACAAATGAATCTGATTTTATGAATAAAGTATTTAAATTACTAAATGAATGAAATAATGAAAACAATAATAATGACAACTTAAAATTTGTATGTATATTTTTTTTTGGGAGGGAAAGGGACGCTACATACTACCTTTTCCAGAAAAGTGAACAAGTATAATATTCCATGGTGATGTGACTATTTTTCTTGCCTGGAGGGGAAGAGAATGTTCAAAATGATGGCTCAATCTTTAGATTTGATGAAGAATAAACAAAGATATGGATAAAAAAACAACGATAAAATAAAAAAGTTTGATAAACTCCTCCCTCGATCATAGGAACCACAAGTAGACAACATGAGATATGTATTTAATGGCAGCATTACAATTAATGTGAGGTTGTGTGGCTAGGATTGTCTACCTTGCATTGTCTTGAAAATGGTACATTTTTGGGCTTTAAAATGTAGGACTCGGTAGTTCTAGAAGGAATTAACCGGGTCTTGATGTCCATATCAAAATGTTCAAATCTCAGTTTCTCATGTCTTGATCAATCGACTTGAACCAGTGTTCCAGTATTGAAGCCTAGCAAAATGTTTATATCAACTTTAATATTTTAGAAAGAAAAACAAAAATGCTGACTACGATTCACTACCCCTCCATGAAATTCTGAATCCAACAGTACCCTATTCATGGTATTTGAGCATGACAGGAGCTTACATTTGGTACAAAACCGATTTCGAGCCTTACTGTAATGATATAAGTGGGGATAAGGAGAATAGGTATTGTGCTGAGTATTAATTGGTCTACACACAGAACTTATTAGCTCAACAACTTGAACTTATTAAAGCATAGATTCGTCTTTGTGCTATTTCATCTTCTGATTTGTCTAATCCTTAATTTACTCTATCATTCTCTTGACTAAGAATAGATATGTATTTTTCAGCAGACTCTAAGGAAATTGTAAAATGCTTAGCATTGTAAGGCAATAAAGAGTCATCGAAGTAAGGATAGGTGCTGGTATTAATCCCCTACCTGGCCAATTCTGGCATACGGGGTTCTCAGCAGCAGTGCGCTAGAGCGCAGGAGTTACGCACTTGCCACTGCCACGGATCATACCCTCTTTATTTTTATTGTTTTTTATTTTATACATGCTTTAGGGTATGTATTTATTTCTAGGAAAAATAAAAATAGAGTTTTCCTGTGGCACAGTCCAGTGTATCTTCCTGGTGGGACTGTGCCATAATATTCTCTTTTCAGTCCAGCGGCTCTCAGAAACCATCAGGATCTTCTCTCTGCTGGAGCCTAGAGCCAGGGAGACACCACTAAGTGCAGCGGGTTCCAACATCTTCGACAAGTTCACAGGATACTCTCTGCTTCTTTCCCTGGCATGGTACAATCCTTACACTTGGTGGGAAGCCACTTTTCCTAGCTTGACACTCATTTGCCCTCTGCATGTAAGTTGTTTCTTGCATATAACTTTGGTATGACCATATCCCTTATCTTTCAGACATAGGAGAGCATCCAAGTAATCATTAATGCCCAATGTCCAGAAGCTGCAGAACTTTTCCATTTACATGACTGCTGTTCTCACGGACAAATGAGCCTCCACTACCCAGGTTTTTTTTTAGGTTCCCTCTCTCAATATTAGAGAAACATGGTCTGAACCATTCCTTCGGATTACACTCTGCTCTCAAGTTTTCCCCATTGTAAATCCTCCAAGTGAGAGGATTTCCAGTCTTCCGGTACTCCACTGATTTCTAGCTTCAGTCTCTTTGTTCTTTCCAGGTTAACTTTTAGTCCTTTATTCTTAAAAGCTTGTATCTGAATCACTATCTTAGCTAAAAAAAATATTGGTGGTGGCGAAAGTTGTAGGATGTAGGATGTCAATATTACATAGTAAAGGGTAAAGCATAGAATATTATACATAAAAGAGTAGCCCCGTCCACTAGCAGATTTAGGATTTAATTTTGGGAGAGGCTTAAGTCCGAAAACTTTTTTTTTTCATATGTATAACGATAATTACTTTGGAAAAAAAATAAAGAAATTAACTTCTTATGGTGTTTAAGTGATTTTTAAAGTCCTATTAAATATAATTACAGGATCAATAATACTTTAAGAGATTTTTTTCCCATAAAACATGGTGATATTTTACCATTTTGGGGGGCTTCAGCGCAAAAGCCTATCTTCCCCTCCCGCAGATTCGCATGTGGCCTTTTCAACTGTTGTTGAATGTGTATGCGTTTCTAGTATGTATAAATATATATATTTGAGAAAAAAGAAAAATGTTCGTTTTCAACCAATTAAAAACCATTTTGGGATTCGATAGAAACAATTTAAATTATTATTTTGAAATAATATTCTTATAGGAACCTTGCACAGACGGATCTATTGGGGGGGGGGACTTTCGGACAGAAGCCCTCTCCCCCCCCCAAGCGATAAAATATAACCATGTTTTATAGAAAAAAATATTAAAAACTATCTTAAAATATTATTGTTCGTGTAATTACATTTAATTGGACTTCAAGTATCACTTAAAATACCATTTCAAATAGGTAGTTAATTTTTTTTTTTTTTCATATCAATTATTGTTGTATATATGAAAAAAAAAATCTTTTGGGCTGAAGCCCCTATAATTAAATCTTGGATCCACTAGTGGAGCCTTGGTTTTAATAAGCACATCTGGACTTTTTCCTTCTACTTCCGCCATGTTTTTTTTTCAGAGAATATAAACGCTTTGCGTGCCTCTATAGCCGCTAGAAATTAACTTAAGAGGATTATCAACTTTTATATCCATTTAGATAAATTAAATTTGGAATAAATTATAAATCGTTCGAAAATACATCAGTGTGGAATTCAATGGTTCAAATTATAAAAAGCATTTGTAAAGTTGTAATCCTTATAAATATTGTGTGAAGAAAATAGAATATTTCATATGTGAGAATGACTATTCATTTCTCAGTGTATCAGTAATATCTATTAAATAATCGAAGGTAGACAGAGATCAAAGGGCCATCATAACAAAGGCTGTGGATCGGCAGAGAGATACCGACGTTCGGCCACGTAGCCAGCTAATAATGTGACTTCAACATATCTCTTTGCCGTGCAGAACCCCTATCTCATTGTATCCCGTTCGATATTAGGGGGATAACACATTTCGATTTATATCAGTTTAGATAGCCCATCAATTTATCACTTCCTTAATATGTCATTAAATTGTGTTGAGGGCTGCTGGCCCGTTCACACGAAGTCGATAGTTAAGATTTAAGAAATGCGCTATATCGCCAAAATTAGTGGTATTGCTACAAAATAAAAAATCAAATCCGGAAAGACGACCAAGACGAACACAAAAACATGATTATTCAACTGCTCTAAATCTTTATATAAGCCAGTATTTACCTATTTATATATAAATACCATGTATTGTATTTATAAGAAGCACTTAAATAAGTAATATGCATTATACACTATATGTTGAAGTACATTTCTATTTCCCTAAAAGTAATATTGTTTAAAATTCTCTCTCGATCCTCAGAGTCCAATAAAATTACATTTAAAGCTGCAGTCTCACCGCTATAGAAATTAAATGACGATATATGACGAAATACTTAAAAAGAATTACAATACGCCCTATACGATCTCTATTTCCAATGTTGTAAAAAAACGCAGTTTTGTTTGGAGGCCTATAAACATTTTTCTAAGTGAGATATGTCTATAATTAAATAAACGTATTAAATATCCACAAAGTAAATCTTTGATCCGCTATGTTAACCGTAGGTTCGGTCTACAAAGCTACAGATCTAGAGTCATAACAAATTTAATTGTATTGGAATCACAGTTGAATCGAAAAAGTAAGTTTAAAGTACGATTTTGAGTCACATTTTTTTAAACATATTTTATACAGTTACATAACTAATATGGGCGAGGTAATGCATTTATGTTCTTTGAGAAACTTAAAAATTTCAATTTTTTGAAAAAAGTGTGAATAGCCCTGGCGTATTGCTGGTGAAATGGTTGCTAAGCAGTGTCGGAAAAAAAAAGTTCGGCTGTCAATCTCTACTTAGAATGTCTGCTTAAAATATCTTATAATAAATTAAAAGAGATAAAGTGAAGTGTTCTACTTGCGTACGTGTCGTTTTCATGACAAGTCTCTATTCGTGAAAACAAGTTCACTAAACAAAGTGTGTTGTATGTTCATAATATGTCAACATATATTAATGGTTAATAAAGTCGGTAGAACCCTCTCGTTTCTAATCTTGCTTCCTCCTCGATCTCTGATAACCCTCGGAGGGGTCTGAAAAGAAGACGGTCTCGACATCTCCTGTTGTAAATATATTTTTAGAGTGCTACCAGTGTTTAGTTTCATATTATTATATTCTTGTGTTCACATTTACTGAATGTATTTATATTTCTAATACATAACATTTTTATTTCTTACAACAGTTGTAAATATCATAAATAATAAATAAAAATAAATAAAGTCGGAGGAAAAGGTAATAAAGATATTTT